CTTTTAGTGTTTGAAATATTGTATAATGTCCGACTATCTTTTAAGACTGTAAGTTGACCTCTATATATCTTTGTTAGTTGTTTGTGTCCTGGAATTAAAGTCTCATTTACATCGAGTCCGCATCTCTGTTTAAAATTTGAGAAGGGTTTTGAAGTAAACAGTTTGTGATTATGTTTGTGCATGTATCAAATCAAATTCAAAAACTTAAAGAATCAACCACAGTCAAAAGGAAAGTACTTCGTCCGTAATAATGATTGGGATAAACTATTGATACCAAACTACCTCTTTTATTTCATACTCAAACTAACCATGTACTAGTTTTGAAAAATAGATACTACATCATAAGGTAGGAAGCAATGAAAAAAAAGATAGTTACAGCATTTTGGGCCATATCGATTTTTACCGAAATTCCTAAATGAACTCCCAGATTAGATAGTTTCTTCTCATCATCTGCCTAAATCACACCATTGAAAAAGGGATTTATATCAGATTTTCGATGTCAATGATCGCAACAAGAAATAGAAAATAATTTTATCGACAGCCTCATTTAATGACAAAACTGATATAAGTCGGACATGTATTTAACACAGCAAAGGATTTCTGTACCAATAATTGTGTTCATAACACTTAAATATTATCTGTAAAAATCAGCTTACTCATAAAAGGGTCAAGACAGTTTGAACCACAGATAAACATCAAATTAAGACATTAAATGTTGCATTAAAAAATACAGATTTAGCGAAATTAATGGAATTTCACATGCCTTTGACATGTAAAATATTGACTTGAATACAAAAAAAAATAGAAGATCAGTTTAGACTATACATAAAAAGAAGCAAAATTGATGCTAAAAGTTCACTACTACTGGTTTAGTCAGACAAGTGACATTCCTAAAAACCAAATAGGCAAATAACAATGAAGGGCAAGTCACACAAATGTAATGCAAAAGTAAACTATACATTATCAGAAAAAGATAAGTTATTGTTGTGAATATTCATGAAATATTTGCCGCTGAACGCAGTTGTCATTCGATTTATTGATCAATCAGTTAAGACTTTGATGGTTAAATCATAAATCATTAAAATGCTATATACTAGTATCCCGATTTTTGTGGTTATTTATAGTTTACAAAGTGTTAAGTCGGACTCTTTATCTACGGTGCTTTATATAAAAAAAAAGACCCGCGCCAACTATGAAGATGAGAACACTACTCGTCTTTTGAAACCCTCGATGATATCAAATCTTGCATGATCCTTTATATCAAAGTACAGTAATTGAGCTATATTTTCTTCAATATATCTTTATTGTTTGTAATATTTATCATATTATAAAAACCTTTATCTATTTCGATATTGTCGTGTTTTTTTTTATAGTATTCTAGAAAAAGATATAGAAATGTAATAAAAAAACTTCGATTTCCAACCCAAAAATTAAAAAAAATTACTTAATATACGCAAGGTCCGCTACGTACGTGTACTCAAATTAAAAGATTAGTCCCGAGGATGTTGGATTTCCCCGAATGTGCGAGATGTCCAATTTATCCATTAACGAGGATAACGTGCATGTGCTTGTAGGTAATGTGTTGACGTTACGTTACGTATCGTTTATAGTAACGTCATTCAAATATGTATGGCAACGTAACAAAGTGAATAAAATGCTCCGCAGGGCGCAGCTTGATACGACCGTAGAGGTCGAACCCTGAACAGTTGGGGCAAGTATGGACACAACATTCAAGCTTGATACAGCTTTGCATTTGGATTGTGATTAAATATTTGACACAACATAGGTTTCTAACACAGAATGAATGTGGTCTAAGAACTTAAAAATTTTAAATTGGACATTCACCTATTATGGTCCAATATCCAAAATCTAAATACATGGTTAGATTCAACATATCAAAGAACCCCAAGAATTCAATTTTTGATGAAATCAAACAAAGTTTAATTTTGGATCCTTTTGACCTCAATGTGGACAAAGTTGATAACGGGGCCCAAAAATCAAAAATCTAAATACATGGTTAGATTCAACATATCAAAGAACCCCATATATTAAATTTTTGTTGAAATCAAACAAAGTTTAATTTTGGACCCCGATTTGGACCAACTTGAAAACTGGACCCATAATCAAAAATCTAAATACATGTTTAGATTCAGCATATCAAAGAACCCTAAGAATTCAATTTTTGTTAAAATCAAACTAAGTTTAATTTTGGACCCTTTGGACCTTAATGTAGACCAATTTGAAAACGGAACCAAAAATTAAGAATCTAAATACACGGTTAGATTCGGTATATCAAAGAACCCCAATAATTCAATTTTTGATGAAATCAAACAGAGTTTAATTTTGGACCCTTTGGACCTCAATGTGGACCAATTTAAAAACGGGGCCCAAAATCCAAAAACTAAATACACGATTAGATTCAGCATATTAAAGAACCCCAAGAATTCAAGAATAAAACCCCATTGAAATTGGTCAAGAAATAAGCAATTTATACGAAGTATCGTCTTTTGCACAATACTGTGCAATTAAATATTTCTTGCTATTGCGCAATACTGTACAATTGACAATTTCTTGCTATTGCGCAATATTGTGATATTGGATATTTCTTGCTATTGCGCAATACTGTGCAATTGAAGATTTCTTGCTATTGTGCAATACTGTGCAATTGAAGATTTCTTGCTATTGTGCAATACTGTGCAATTGAAAATGTCTTGCTATTGCACAATACTTATTATATAATAATTTACACATCCTGTTTGGTGTGTATCTCCTACCATATCATTATTATTTGCTTTTAAATATAAATCAGAAATAACCAACTTAAAATGGAAAATTTTAAAAGAAAAAAAAAAGGAAAAAAAGAAAAAAAAGGAAAAAAAAAAATCCCCCCCCCAATTTTTTGAACCCCCTTATGATTCATCACCCCCAAACTCAATCCCAGCCTTCCCTTTGTGGTATGGTACCTTGCAGTACAATTTCAGAGAGATCCATACACTTGAACACAAGTTATTGTCTGGAAACTAGAAAAATGCTTATTTTTGGCCCCTTTTTGGCCCCCAATTCCTAAACGTTTCGGCAATTACCCCCAAACTCAATTCCAGCTTTCCCTTTGTGATATGGAACCTTGTAGTACAATTTCAGAAAGATCCATACACTTACACACAAGTTATTGTCATGAAACTAGAAAAATGCTTGTTTTTTGCCCCCTTTTTGCCCCCTAATTCCTAAAATTTAGAGGCAATTACCCCCAAAATCAATCCCAGCATTCCTTTTGTGATATGGAACCTTGTGGTACAATGTCAGAGGGATCCATACACTAACACACAAGTTATGTCTGGAAGTTACAAAAATGCTTATTTTTGGCCCCTTTTTTGCCCCTAATTCCTTTACTGTTGGTACCATAACCCATAGAGATCCATTCACTTAAACTAAAGTTAGAGTGCGAAAACCAATGTGTCATCGGACGACGCCGGACGACGACGACAACGACGACGCCAACGTCATACCAATATACGACCACAAAATTTTTTTTGCGGTCGTATAAAAAGCAACGTCTCAGCGCTCAAAGGGTTAAAGAAGGTATAAATCGTCAAGTTAGTATATTTGAATTGTTTACATCTTTTTCTATGGGCTTTAAAAGTTTAATGTAGGTGCATAATGTAGGATTATTTGCATCGTATATACGTGTGTATAGTTAAATCATAGTACAGAGCTTCGAGATATTTATAAACTTTTAAAGTAAAGACAAATTTTCACAAAACAGTCGAATATGGTAGGTGCAAATACATGTGGATCTTTTTTGTGCATTAGCATAATTTCCATTATTTTCATATTATCAGACTTCGTGTTAATATAGTTACACCAAAAATTCACAGTACAATGAAATAAAGTATATGGGTTAATTAAAATACTTTTCTAATGAGTCATAACAACAGAGGTGGAGTGTTGAAATAAAAAAAAAAGCAAAAAATGTTAAAATTTGAGGTGTATTTCTTCCTTGTATTCTATTTTTATTTTCGTTCACTCATGTTTAATTGAAAATTAGTTATATTAATTATTTTATTCATGAAATGTACTGAAAAAAAAGAAAGGTCGGACACACCCTGCACTAACACCCCTTATATTTTGACTGAAAACCCTTGACGACAGACTACAAGTGGATCTTAAAAATGTATGACTTCAGAAAATCTTTTTTTTTTGTGTTAATTATCTGGGGTAGTTCGTCTTCAACCTGTGATCAATTTTAGTCTGCCCTTCCATATAATTTTTCATAAGAATTTAGTTTTTTGAACTTTCCAAAATTCACCTTGACAACTGAACCAGATAATAGTTTTAAGACAAAAGACATATAAGTAAATAACATGATGCTTAATAGCTGGTAGATATATTTGTTTTTAAAGATTCAACCGTCATGTAAGAATTGTAATGATGATATGTGGATATATTTTTCGGGTTTTAAGAGCTAAATTGACAGCTCGTCATCACTACAATGGCTTTCATTTTTGCGATTGAAAAAATAGGTGGCGTAATGGAGATATAAACTTGACGAAGTAGAATCCTGACTGACCGAGTCCCCAATAAAATTGAACAAGCATGCATAAAAGTATGCAGGAAACCATATTCATCCTTATGATTTTTATATTTGATTATCATAATGAACACTGCAGGTGTAAAGGGATAAGTTGACAGTTTCCGGAAAATATAAGGTTTCTTTTTTTGGATTGCTATTTTGTGGAGTAATTGGAAGTGATAGTGTTGTTGTTTGTCGTTTAAAAATTGTGACCAGAAACAAAGAATAATAAATACACATGCACAGTTTTGAAATCAATTGAATGATACTGAACTGTATTTTATGGATAAAACGGGTGTTCCGGAAGGGTCAATCTTGCCCGTCACATTTCGGTAATGCTTTAAAGGATAAACTATTACCCGCAAACATTATTTAAATCAAACTATAATAGGAATATGTCGACGTGCAATTGATTCAAGTTTTTTGTCAGGCAATACAGACGAATCAAGACTTTCCCATCAAATTACAACAAATGGCGCAACATATGACAACCAGGATGAGGAGAAGAGAGAATATTATAGTTTTGCTGGGGACTTAAAAATTTCCGGAACTGCTATCTCAATAAATGATTTCTACGACTATGTTGACAAAGGACGAGGAACAAAGGGACCAATTGAAAAGGAATTTGAGGTTTATATACGTATACATTACAACAGTTACTGTTCATATACTTATGTTATATCGTTGTTGTTCAATCATAAATTAATCTTAACAATGCTCCCTTAGATGATTTACAACACAAAATAATTTGAAACAAAATTAAAATCAAATTCTAAATCCTACTTCACACTTATGAAAGAATTTCGATATAAAAAATTGTACGAAAATCATATACGCAGCACTTGGTTAGTCATTATTTGACAATTTTGAATAGTTTTAGTATTACTGCCGATTATCTTGCAACTTTATAAACAATTTAAACCGTGAAAAAAGTCATAAATGTGAGATAAGCAAAAAATAATTGTCAGGGGACGTTTAGCAAGCATTTCACTCCTGAAACTACTGACCAATTTAAGCGTTGACAACTAGATTGTTTTGTTTATATTACTTTGGGTTTCTGTCTCATTTACACATGTGATTCATATTCTTTTACTAACCGTGACTTGAATGATTAGGGAGACTATGATAGTGGTTAATGCACCTGAAATAAAAATTGTCTCACATTCTACATCCGACAGAACTGTGAGACTATTTCTTGCTTCCATCAATTCATATGAAGGGAGATTTGTTTTATTCGGATATCATATTGATTTTTTTTAAGCTGTAAATTTTCAACAAAATCATTTCATTTGTTGTTAATATTGCGAAAATCAGTATGTTTGTTATAATATTTTTATCATAAAAGATTTTGATCGCGAAATATCGGAAATAAAGATAAATCTAGTGACATGTTTGTCAGTTGAGCGATTTCGGCTGCTGGGAGCCTCTAGTTATTATTTCATAGAAATATACAAAAATAAATATCAAATGTTTTTTTTTTCTTTCAGAAACTGAAAAAGCATCATCTTAAGGAAACAAAAACAGCATCATTGACTGAAAATATTGGCAAAAATAAATACAAAAATGTATTTCCGTGTATGTAAATTATTTCAATTTTGTGTATCAAAAAGACATCAGTAATTTTGAAACATATTTCATACTTCAAACTACTTCAAACACCACCAATCATTTTGTAAAAGTCTAAACACACTCATTATTAACATTTTTTGATTGATTAATAGAAAGTTGTGATTTTTTATATATAAACAATTAAAAAACCTGTTTTCAAATAATTCTAAGGAAAAACAGGATAATTCAGGAGCAATTTTATTAAAATATTTAAGTAAATTATGATTCCTTTCCATTTGCAATTGTCTTTAAAATATTAGGTATGATAATCTGAAATCAAGCTACAGCTTGTATCAAGGTTAAGTAATTTATGACATAAATGATTGTCTAATACTACTATTAGCATTTACATACATGTATGGTTTTGATGGAAAATAGAAAAAAGTAAAAAAAGACAGCTAAAAATACTTACTCACACTGGACAGAGCAAATCAAACTATGTTTCGGCATCGCACAAGGTCATTTATGTCTCAGACTTCTTATCACTGAATCCATGTGAGAAGAACTGTTTGATATTAAGACTAGGAAAACATGAATAAAATGAGAATGGAAATGGGGAATGTGTCAAAGAGACAACAACACAGGACAGACAACAGCAGAAGGCCACCAACAGGTCTTCAATGCAGCGAGAAATTCCCGCACCCGGAGGCGTCCTTCAGCTGGCCCCTAAACAAATATATATACTAGTTCAGTGATAATGAACGCCATACTAAACTCCAAATTGTACACAAGAAACTAAAATTAAAAATAATACAAGACTAACAAAGGCCAGAGGCTCCCGACTTGGGACAGGCGCAAAAATGCGGCGGGGTTAAACATGTTTATGAGATCTCAACCCTCCTCCTATACCTCTAGCCAATGTAGAAAAGTAAACGCATAACAATACGCACATTAAAATTCAGTTCAAGAGAAGTCCGAGTCTGATGTCAGAAGATGTAACCAAAGAAAATAAACAAAATGACAATAATACATAAATAACAACAGACTACTAGCAGTTAACTGACATGCCAGCTCCAGACTTCAATTAAACTGATTGAAAGATTATGTCTTCATCATATGAATATCAGGCACAATCCTATTTATAAACTGAAATAGGGCTTTTCAGTAACTGTATGTACTCTTTGATCAGTACATTGTGTATTCATCATTTTGTTTTTTTTTGTGCTGAGTACTGATCTGATGAGCCACGAAAACATATTTAACTTTTAGAAGATACAATGTATATATGTATTTCGTCAAAATCGGAGCACCAAATTGAGACTGGTTTTACCGGAAATATCAATCATGAATAATGCTTTAACAAACTGACAGCTTGTTCAAACCATTTCATCTATTAACAATGAAATTATACTGAGGAACTTTACAAACGGTTTATTACGAAAGCTGTACATATGGTACAATAACAATTACTCATATTCAGTTACATTTAACACCTTATCTTAATAGCAAACAAGAAAATATCAGTAAGCATGAATTATTTCTAATGAATTTGAATTGTAACTGAAATACAAAACTCAAATATATTTTTGAATAAATAAATGATTATATAATATAACTATTACTTTTTCAATCTAGTTGAAACAATTGTTTTAATAGTGATTAAGATTATAACACAATGTTGACTGCTGTACCCCTATTTTTGACATTTTTACCTATTAAGTCTGTTTGTTTTGTTCACATGCACATCGTTGTCAAGTTATGGAATTTTATGCGACTGTCATACAAGTGAGATGTTTAGCTAGCTATAAAACCAGGTTTAGTCCACCATTTTCTACATAAGAAAATACCTGTACAAAGTCAGGAATTTGACAGTTGTTATCCATTCGTTTGGTGTGTTTGAGCTTTTGATTTTGCCATTTGATTACGGACTTTCCGTTTTGGACGTTCTTAGGAGTTCGGTATTTTTGTTGTTTTACTTTTTTTTTGAAACATACACATAAAAATGATTTTGCACTCTTTAATATTCCCCGCATTCTAAAGCTTTTGTATTCTGCAACTGCTCCTGTACCACTTGCCAGAATTTGTGTGAGACTTTCATAGAATCTTACTCGCAAAATATACTTTTGCGCCTCTTTTTTCATTTCTTCATCTGAATAATTTTTGATGTTTAGTTTGGGTGACACGGACTGCGTCATATTTGCAAAATGTAATACACATTTGTATCCGCTTCTTCTTCTTAAACCCTAATCATATTTTAATGACACTTTCTCACAATATTTACCATATTGTGTCATCATGCACCTCCTATTTTGTTTTTTGGTCCTAATTATATCTGGGATTTGCTTAACAAAAAGATTGCATTTCTCATTACTTTATTTGGGTTACCCATTTTATAGCTGCAACTTCTCCTTAACCCCTTATCAAAATTTATTGAAACATTCTCACAATCGTAACAATATTATACTATGATGCACATCCTATTAAATTCTATTTTATCAGAATCAAATTTGCGGTTTCCTTCAGCAAATCATCTGCACACTAAAGGTCACATTTATATCCATTCTTCTCTTAAACCCCTTATCAGAAAAACAAAAATTCCTGATAAGATACAGTCATTTTCCGAAGAAAATGGAGTGTTAAATCTGGTTTTGTAGCTAGCTAAACCTCCTACTTGTATGAATTTGATGGAATTTTCTCAGAATCTTCACAATATAATGCCATTGTGCACCTTTTATGTTTTGTCTCATTTAGTTTTCGGGTTTCTCTTACCAAAGCATGGACTTTACAAGGGGCGAGCATGGATTTTGCAAAGGGCGGGTGTAATTTTGTAAGCTTTGCTAGTAGTACATCTAGTTCTCAGTAGAGCAAACCATATTCATATAAGCCTAAAAAAGACGCTTCTTTATGTTAAAATCTAGTTTTAATATTAACATTTATAAAGCTGGCTTCGAAGTACTTCGGTGTATTATTTAAAACAGTATAACAAAAATATCGAACTCGAAGCAAATTCAAAAAGGAATAGTCCACAAAAACTGACGGAATCAAACGTTATCAATCAACGAACAAGTGAAAAACAACTGAAATACTCCTGACTTAAAATTGGATATCAATACAACTTAGATAAATATCAACGTCAATGTAATTAATATCAAATCATTCCATATTTAGATGATGAAACTCGTGTTATACTTGACATACAACCAGGAAAAGGAGCATCTGACTATATTAACGCATCATTTATAAATGTAAGTATCATAAAAAAGTATCATCTACATGTAACTACAATAATGATGTTGTCTGTTATCTCTTCCGTTCAAATACATACTAAGAGTTTCAAAAACCCCTTAAATCTTAAAGGAGAACGAGAAGGGGATATCATGTTGACGACCATGCGGTGACCTACAGTTTCATACAAATATGTCATTGGTTTCTCTTATTTCACACTTAATTCGACCTTTGAAAATTCCCTGGAAGTAAATAAAATATTTGATTCAAGAATTAAGTACTAAAAAATTAAAGATTAAAGAAAATGTTAAGATATTAACTCTTACCAAATATGACGGAGATATCACTGATGTATTTTATATCCCATCATTTTTCAAGAAGTCAATGTTTTATTAATGTAGTGTCGATATAAATTTTACTGTATTTCTTGCCACTTTTCAACTGTATAACTTGTAAAATGGTAGGGTTGAATATTCATAGCGATTGAGATGCTCTATTCTGTACATATACTTTTCCGGAGACAAAAAACATTGGAGCGCTCTATTTGATTGTCTGACTTATACATACTTATCTATTTATTATTGAAGCTCTGTAAGATATATATGGTAGGAACCTTCACATACCTAGCAATATGGTTGATTTTTTAGCTTTTCGAAAAGTACTTTAATTTTTCATTGGTCATACTATCAAATGATTTCAAGGTCTAAATCTAAATTAAAATGCTTCTAGCACACATAACTATCTTGTTCTGATCTTTCTTACTAACGCAGAAAATAAATTATTTAGCATTCTATTGTAAACCTACAAAATAGACTACCGTATACCCTAAAAAGGGTGCGACCCTAATATTAAAAGAAAGTTGAGTTTTCAATTGGGCAATAGTATTCCGTACTAACATTAAATTGTCAAGACTGCTTATTCTTAAACACTGTTTTATCAAAATGTCATTTCAGGGATATGGTCAAGTTAAGAAATACATAGCCGCCCAAGGTAAGTTGATAGAAGAAATTTTAGGATTGTCTTAACATTATATATATTTGATAGAAAATAAAAAAAAATCACTGACGGCTCCATTTGCATCAAGAAAAATGGAAAAAAGGAATATGGTGCCACAACATCATGCGCACATTGAAACAGGCAAAGACACATCAACAGCGCTTTAATTGATTTTTCCAAAGTCATAGTATAAACTTAAACAGGGACTAACATATATATCACAAATGAAAATTAATGAACACATGTATATGTATAACGCAGAATAAATATTACCACGACCAAAAACGTAGAATTTTAACTTGACGTCTTAATAGATTGTAGGATTGATTTACTGATTGATCGTTTTCAACGCCATTTTCAGCAATCTGTAATATTTCATGACCGCCAGTCTTTATCGGTCGAGAAACCCAAAGTAACCGGGTAGACCTTCGGTTGGAAAACTGGCAATCTTTGTGTTATAGAACCATTGTATCATACTATGAACGGCTATCAATATCCTATGATTTATCAGAAAACAATTCCTTTTCCTCTAGGGCAAAATGAGTTTTGACTACGATATGTAATGTATGCTCTATTGATATTTAACACATACTATAGAACTTTCTACATTTCCAGGTGGTTACTAAGGTAAAAAATTAACTTAAGTTCTGAATGTATTGTAGGACCATTGGAACCTACTATCAACGATTTTTGGGGGATGATCTGGCAATATGATTGTGGCAAAATTGTTATGTTAACAAATGTGTGTGAACTAGGAAAGGTAGTGTGTGTTTTATAAAATGTATTTTTACGATTGATCATTTGAAATAGTTTTGGAAAGAAAAAGTAACATTAGTTATTAACAAACGCTTTTTAGATTATGTTTCTACCTTTTTTTATGAATTCTTTTTCTTTATCAGTTATATTTTATAATGTTCGTTTTTTGTTTAAATTTTTCCTTTTTAAATTAACAAATATCAATAAAAAATAAAACGGCTATCAGTGTGACAACTAATATTGTAAATTGAAAAAAAAATTATTAAAAACATGTTTGGGTTTGTCATTCTATTTCAGCAAAAATGTAAACAGTATTGGCCTGATCCCGAATCTAAAACAAAACAATATGGATCAACCGAAATTTTGTTGATAGATGAAGATGTCTACTCAGATTTTACTATTAGAACACTGAAGATAGTGAAGGTATTATATATATTATCATGTACTTTGAGTAAATAACTTATACATTTATATAATAATATTTACAGAATGATAACAGCTTTTTTTTGCGTAAATTCCCGAAATGGTGCTTAGTGGCCTAATATGAAATATCTATCAACTATTTCCGATTATTATCGTAGATCTGTTCAAAACGTTATCGAATGGCAAGGCGTCGTCACTCGGCAAATTCTTGAAACTAGATGTCAACGTTACGATTTCAATGAAGTTAATGTCGGCCTCAAATGTTCAAATATATTTGTGTCGTACAAAAATGAGTATGAAACTCCTAGAAAATATTGGGACGTATGATTATTCTACGGTTTGATTAATTTTAAATCCATACAGGTAGTTGCAATTGACATTTATAAGTCAAAACATTTGTTTTCAATTGAATTTTTTCCGCGTGGAAGTATATAATGAAAAGATTATAACATGATATTTTTCATATCAGATGTATTATCAGCCCCCGTCAACATCAACCCTTGAACCTATGTCTTTTGGGCTGATATTATGACCTAGGGTTGATAATACATCTGACATGAAAACCTCCTTGTAATAATCTGATAGTATCATATCACACTCTACATTCTTCTGAAACACGCATTCAAATCATAGAGCAATTATCAGCCGAAAGTGGATATGCATTTGGTAATGAAAAACCATTTAAGATTTTATTGATCCCAAGTGTGTCTTTATTATTATATTCGGGAATATATTTGTTTTATTAGTTTCAAATATACAGACATGTTATATTAATCACTTTATGCAGGAAATATCCAATCACAGCAGTTATCACATTTAAACGTAAGACATTAAATAAAAAGTAGACAAAGTTGGAAAGTGATGTCGAAGTACAACTTGGTATAACTGTGTCTGTCATACACATTTAATGCTCCTGCCTTAGTTATGATCTATCCCCAACGTCAGACAATTTTATTTGTTGTTCTTTTAAACTTCATAACTCAACTTTTGCATTGTTAACAAAACGTAAAAAATGTGAATGGTTAATAATACTAAAATGTACACGGAAAATGCAATAGTAGTAAATAATTGTTCTCGTTGAATATGGTAATAATGTGATAAATTATATTTATCAGATGAATAGTCATCATTAGTGCATTATTATAAAGGATTTTTTTTCAAGGAGCATACAAACGACTAAGTTCAACATTCTAATAAAAATGCCGACAATATGCGCACCCTAAGTACAATGTAAATGTACTATTTTGCATAGTATAATATTTCTATCTTGAACACTATAGGACGGGTTATCAGGACAAAACATGTTCCCCGTATGTAAACTATCCCCCAAAAGTGACAAAGTTCAACATTCTTTCATTTGATGAAAATTTAGACAAAATCAAAATCCTAACAATAAGCAAGTACAAACCATTTACACCTTATATCAACGTGGGACCAACGGACGATTGGAAGGACGGACGGACTGATAGGGATAAAACAATAATATCCCCGACATTTGGTCGCCGGGGCTCTCGTTGATTTACCATCATGAACACTCAAAACTTGAAATCCGGGATGTTTAAATACTTCAAAAACCAATGAAAAATATAAGAAACGAATGTGATGAATCCTGTCGGTGGCGAAGCACGAACTAAAATTTTGAAGGTTTAATTTTAAGGTGTAAAACTCTTTTATTTTGCCTTACTGTATCAAATAACCGTCTTATATGTAAAACATAACTACACAATTGTTATTTTTTCATTTACAGGAAAACCAAAGCAAAACTGTAAAACAATTTCATTTTACTGCTTGGCCTGATAAAGATGTCCCAAAATATGCATCATCAATAGTGCATTTCCGACATAAGGTGTTCTCATCCAATGTTTCACCAAATGGACCGATAATTATTCACTGCAGGTAGGCTACAACTTGCAGTCAACATATTTGTTCAATACAGCTTTTGAGAAAAAGCTGCCAATGTCTGTTTTTTACTTATTTAATATAATATAACTTACTATTATGTACACATCAAAGTGACAGAGAAACTATTTCCTATTTAACGTATTCAGTATGCATAATTTTTTGCATGCCTTAGCACGAATACCGGAAGGATACGTACACTTTCTGGAAAGACATAAGAAAATGGAAACTGAATACAAGTTACATGCAGTGTATGTGAACTGGATATAACTTTTATGAAAGTTTATATAGCAAAACTGACCTGATGATGATTTCATTTGAACTAAAAGAATTGTAAACATGCATTCCACATTCTCTTTTTTCCCTTAAAGATTGACCTCCTTAAATCAAAATTGATATCAGAATAATTTGACTGTTCTGTAGTTGTCTCGCATCGAACAAGTATATATCAATTAAGGGGGAACAACTAATAGAAAGAAATGCTATTTGATATGACTAGCAGTGGTATCGAGCAGTAGCTAGAAAATGAAAATAACATTTTTTAAATGGTGTGCACCTGAAGCGTGTTTCCCTGAATATGTGATAAGCCATATGACCACAAAAAAAAAACAATCTTAGCCAAATTCACCTAAGGTTTACTAAGCCTCAGAGAGTTTATTGAATAATGTTTTAATTATAAACGGATAGTTCAAGAAAGGTATGTTAGAATTCATGCCAGTACCAAAGCATTGAAAATGAGTTGATAACTACTTATTAAACAAATATATTAAATTTATATAAAATGGTAAAGAGACATTGAAGTGAACGAATACGATGACATGATTAGGAAAAAAGTACACCTATTGCCGATAATTTAGTGTACATGTGCTGAATAGGTTAAAACCTTTTCTTGGAATTTTTACATCAAAATTTAGTAATGTTAAAGTTGAATTTAAAGTAATCTTCTCTACTGTTTAACCGAGGCTATCACAATTGTGCTTAGTATTTAAAACCGATATTTCCTTGACCCGGAAACACGAAGGAAAAATGCTATTAGATGTTTTCCCTTATTTATTTATCCGGTCAAATTAAAATAACGAAGTGTTTTTGGATTTCTTCCCATACTCATATGCACTAAGTCAGACCAATTTAGTGTAAACATTTTCGTGTTTAAGGTTTTAAATGGGATGAGTTATTATTTTATTAACAATGCACTGAAACTAGGGCGTTTTTAGTTCCTTACTGGATGAAAATGTTTGTTATTCGTTTACTTTCATTGTGCTTTGTTATTGTTCTGTTTAATACATGACATTTATTTACAAAACACATCAGTGCTGGAATTGGACGAACAGGCACCTTCATTGCCTTGGACTATATTGTGAATGAGGCGAATGATTTGAAGTATATAGACGTGTTTAAATGTGTAGAAACTCTCAGGAGGCAAAGGGTCAACATGGTGCAGACTGCTGTAAGTTGTATACTGTCATTTTATACATAAAAGTATAAATTATTGTAAAAGTTGTTTTTAAGGATGTTCTTGTTTTTTACTTTTTGTCAGATATTCGAAATCCTCTAGTTTTACCCATATAGTGCCAATAAAAATTTTGTCCGCTAACCCCTTCTTTATTTTTCATATCTTTATTACATATAGTTTAAGAAGCCATTTTTGAAAATCTTCAAAAATCCTTGTTCATTTTCAAAGTATGAAAGAATTAAGGTGCCCATGTTAAAGGTATGAACGATAAAGAAAGAATCATTTCCAGCCAAATTTTCAATTGATTGTATCTCAAAGACAAGGACACGGACCTTTTATTTTTTTCTGCTTTTTGAGTTCCGTTATTTATATACTATCAATCTATACCAGTCTTTTAAAACGCTTGTTATTTTGAAAAAAAGGAGAGAACATCCTTAAGCTGGCTCTCAAACTGGTGAAGTTTAAGATAATTATGTCTCTAGAAAAGTTGTATATAGAAAAGAGTGTTTTTAGCTCACCTTGTCCAACAGGCCAGTACAAGCTTTTGCTATCACTTAGCATCTATCGTCGTCGTCTTTCCTCCTGTGACTTTTACAAATCTACTCCCCGGAAACTACTGAGACAAAATCATCATTACAGTATCTGTTTAAAAAAATGTGTCCGATAAGCCTGCCTGCCAGCCAATGCTTAAAAAAGAACATAGGGTTTAAATGAAAATATTGTCTATTATCTTTTAAACTGTTATAAATGGAAAAATTTCTGGCAAGATCTTCTTACCTAGTTTTGACCAAAACTGTCAGACGACTCCTTGAGATATTGCCCTTAAATGACGATTTTTACCATTGTTTTCTATTTTAGCTATTATCTTTATAATTTCAATAGATTAAGGACAACTAGAATGGCAATGATCATCAGCAGAACAACATAAAAAAATACGCAAATATTGCCGAAATCGTCCTTTTTATCATTTTTGTTTTGCTCTTTTCGGAAACTAGAATATATAGCTGAAGAATTTAAACAAACAAAACTTATCAGTAGGACAAGGTCTACTCATAACTCTAAATTTTCAAATTTAACAGTCGTCCCCTTATATGAAAGGTAATATGATTGCCCTTCAAAGACCATTTTACTCATTTTGTGGTTTTGTGGAAACTATAGTAGATGGAATGAAATTGTATACAATATTACCAGCAGAAAAAGATTTACTAATAAGTCCAATGTGCTAAATCTGCAATTGATTCGTAAAGGCGGAGTTATGGTCCTTGACGAAAGATATTTACTCATTGTTTCAATTTTGCGGAAACTATACTTAAACATGTAGAAAGGGAGAAACTGTAAATGGTAAAAAGATCAGCAGGACAAGATTTATAAATAAGTTGAGATGTCTGAAATTGTTATTTGAATCCTTAAAGGAGTTATTGCTTTTCAAAGACAATTGTTTTATTAACAATGTCTGTGGTTTTTTTGTTGTTGTTGCGGAAAATATAGTAGATAGCTGGAAACTGTAGACACCAAAAATCAAAAGAACAACATCTACAGATATGTGATTATGGTCGATATCATCAGTCGCCTCCTTATAGGAGTTAATGTTTTGGAGAGACGCCTTTTAATGATTATTTTCCGAAAACTATATAAAACTATATATAGTAGATGGAGAGAAACAATCAAATGCAAAGGTTATCGAAATGATCTTCAAATCAGTCAAAAATGCATGAAATCATCAGTTTACTCGACTCTTTCTAGGAGTTATTGCTCTTGAAGAATGATATAATAACTTTGGGGCGTTTTTACTGAAAACATTTTGAAACATTTTGAAATATTCAAAATGTTTTGTATCAAATTTATGCAAAATTGACAAGTGATCGATACAGTCATCTTGGAGACTGTAGTTATTTTGTTTAATGGTGTTTAGCGTTATTATGCTTCTCCCTTACACACAATCCTTGTTTCACATCTACGTATTAGTTTCTCGGTTTGTTAAAAAGGGAATAATAAATGATCCTGCTCACACTTGCTCTACATCCAGATAGCTTTTAGCTGTGAGTGAGTTTCGGTAGATACAACTTTTCTACAAATGAGAAGGGTAACTTTTTATAGCTATATAATGACGGGAATTTCTTTATTAATGGAGCAAGTCGGGGTGTCAGGAGAGAGCAACCGACCTTTTGCAGACTGAGATTCAGATCCATTGTCAATTTAAAATTAACGTCTTTTTTTAGTTCTAAGATCAGTTTTAATTCTTAAAAACTGCAGTGTACTACCATGTACTTAATTTATAGTCCTTATTATTCAAGTATTCAATGTTGTGGAAAAATGATGTCATATAAATAAACCTTAGCTATTCATACCACTGATAGTGTTCAATCTTCAGTCTCTTTATTGAAAATTTTAGACATTCGTTTTCTTTCTGTCAGTTGCAAATAAAAGCGTTTTAGAACATGAACGTTGTTCCTCCTTTAGTTCTACTAGATCTTATTTTGATAAATCTTTTGCATTCTACACAGATATTTTTTTTAATAAATTTAAGGTATTTTTGTTATCCATGCAGAACAAAACGGTACTAATGTCAAAATTAGAAAGCATGAGTTGTAAAAATACAAATAAAAATAAACAAACAAGAGTCCACAAAACAGTACAGAGAATACCTAAAGATCTCCACTGACAGAAGATGAATGCTCATACTTAATCATCTTCTGTATTTTGATATTCTTTATTTCTTAGCGCCAGTACGTGTTTCTCCATGAAGCAATATTAGAAGCAGTGATGTGTCCTAATTCTGGAATTCCTTCGAAAGATTTTCCAGATCTATATAAAGAGTTAATGTTGCACGATTCAAGTAGAAATAAAACAAAACTCCAAGTGGAATATCAGGTATGAGTATATTTCTGGTTTATTTCTTTGTACTCCAATCATTTCTACAATTACATTTCTGCAAACTTCACTTGACATTTATATAAATGAAGATAAAACATAAGAAAAAAAAAAAAAAAAACAATTCTGTAATTTACTAGTTATAACCAAACAAATATTTATTAAAATGTAAAATTCCAATATATATATATATATATATATATGTATTGTCTTTTCCATAGCGTATGAATGCAATGTGCGAAAAACATGAAGATGATGTATTTGTTAAAGGTACAATTCCTGAAAATAGGACCAAGAATAGAGACAGTACAATACTTCCAGGTATGTAGCTGCTTTAATAAATTAAAACGACTAAAAAAACAAAGAGTAAACAATTGTAACTACCGACAAATTTTATGCAGTAGGCTTCTGTTGTTAACTTGGCCGATTGCAACAAATTAAGATTTGAATACTAAAAATATAAAGTTTCTGCGAGTAATTTATATATAGCAAAACTAGATCTTAAAGATTCTAATTACGAAGTGACTGATTCTTGTAACTTCATTACATGTATATTTCATTTTAATGGCAGATCTACTTATTTGTATTGGTTTTGTAGTTGAATACGAGATGCCAATCCTGTCTACGTTTGTGGAAGGACACAATGAATATATCAATGCCGTATTCCTACCTGTAAGTCAAATAGTTTGAAATCATTTTAAAACTTTGTTCAATAGTTTTATTTCATTTTAATTTTTGCAATTGTAAAATTGCATATGCAAATGTTAAAAAGAATTCTGTTATACGCAAAGTAGCAAACATACTTGAATAGTAATTACATTTATTGAATCCAACAAATGAAAAGACATCCAATACATATTTTTCTTGCATACTTAAGATAAATACAATTATCGCACCTTGGAAACGTTCTTTCAATAGAGTTTACTACCCGAGTACATATAACGTGTGACAGTTGAAATATTTAGATTATATTAATTCATCATGCAAAAAGTTTCTTTATGTTTATTTTTTCCATGATGTAAAACATACTATAAACACATTGAATTATGGGTATGCGTCAAGGGAGAGAGGAATACCTACCTCCCTCCTCCCTGAGGAAAAAAAAAACAACCCCAGAAAATCAACAAACTGTCTTTCAAATAAGACGGGTATTTTCTGTATTTTATATTTAATTCATTCTGTGCACTCTCGGTTTCGTGAAGCGTACTGTAGTGTCGGCGTATTAAACAGCATTACATTATTACTTTTATTTATTATTTTTTTCAAAAATTAAAAGTCCATTTTTTAACAGGTATTCTCCGAAGTGTTCATTTTATTTATAGTTTTAAATACCTTTAATTGCTGCTTATACATACACGTGGCAAGTTGTACAAACACACAGAAGTGACACAGAAAATCACCAAACGTAATGGATAATGACAATAATATGTAAAAACAAAGCGAAATAAAACAGTATAAACCCGTTCATTTTCTATGTTGTTGTATGTGTTCCTCAAATATTAATTAGTTTTGTAATCATATATTTTAGTAAAATTAACAAATGCAATTGGTTCATTGATGAGCTATAATAATTGAAAATGGTTTTCTGGTATCTTTTAAAGGGCTACAAAAATAAAAAAGCATTCATAGTAACACAGCTGCCACTTGAACATACGAAAATAGATCTTTGGAGGCTGGTGTACGACCACAACATACAAACAATTGTTATGCTCAACCAAGTTAAAGAAGATACGGTTAGTATAAGAACTCTGAAAAATTACCAGGCTTATAATTTTGTACGCCAAACTCGCGCATGTCTAAATATAAAATTTCGGATTTGCGACATCACATATACATAATTTATACTTAACACTGATAACTTGAATACATCAAAATATAATATAACAATACAAATACATAAAACGTTTGTGATACACGTCTGATACAGTAAAGTATAAGTTACATCGAATTCTCTAATAAGACTCTTCAAGGAACTTCAAAACAGTTGAACGACCAAATAAATTACGAAATTGAAGAACCTTGAAAGCCAAATAGTCGAAAAATAGTGCCAAATCTGGCTAAGGCCATCAAAAACTGTGATTGAATAACGTAAGTGTATGAAAATTTTAAACATTTTAAATATGTACATTTCTGTTCAAAATATTATGATTAATATAGACGATGTGGTCAGACTTTAAGATATTTTCTCATGTGAATTTTTAATCTTTTAACAAAAAATGTGTTCTGCTACGAAAATTCAAAGGCATTATTTTGTACCTGAAATTGCAAAAAAAAATACAATTCGTATACCATTAGCTATATGGGTAAATGAATATGATAATAGCAACTAGGCACTTGAGTGGTGAAAAGTCATTTGTAATGTGCAAGTAACCAAATAAACATATCAGTTTATGTTCACTGGTGTTAACATGTCTTTTGATTGAGTTAAGCCATTTCAATTGATATTTCATAATGTGTCTTTCTATGTTGTGATGTTACACTATTGTTTCAGATAAGGGTGAAGGTTTGGTACCATTAAAACGTTTATACCCGCTGCAATTGTTCGCACCTGTCCTAAGTCAGGAATCTGATGTTCAGTAGTTGTCGTTTGTTGATGTGGTTCATAAGTGTTTCTCGGTTCTCGTTTTTTATATAGATTAGACCGTTGGTTTTCCCATTTGAATAGTTTTACACTAGTAATTTTGTGGGCCCTTTATAGCTTGCTGATCGGTGTGAGCCAAGGCTCCCTGTTGAAGACCGTACTTTGACCTATATTGGTTTACTTTTATAAATTTTGACTTGGATGGAGAGTTGTCTCATTTGCACTCATACAACATCTTCTTCAAAATTAATATATTGGGCCAAACATGTTTTGTTCAGTTTTTGTCTTCATACAGGAGTTTTAAGGTAAAATGCAAAAATGATGGACAAAATGATAACAAATTTAATACTGATATCTGAGATAACAATGTTTCGTAAATATCTGGAGGAAGCTATTTATACATGTATTAGCTCCTAACATATCTACACGTACGTATATATACATCCCTGGTTTTAAAAGGTTATGGTTTGAGCTTTCCTGAAAAGGTAAATTCAAAATAGCACTTCATACGCACTCAATTTATTAAACGTTATTTTCATTAAAACTAGCACTGGGTTGATTAACCCACCCTTATGTTCGGGTAATGCCTGTTCCAAGTCAGGAATATGTCAGTTGTTTTTCAGTCGTTCCGTTGATTGGTTACGTTTGATTTTGTCAGTTTTTATGGACTTCCCCTTTTTGAATTTACCTTGGAGTTCGGTATTTTTTTTATACTTTTTTGATACCGCTTCTTGTTAAGGTGGCTCGGGTGTCTTCTTCCATGTTGGATTCTGAAGTAGCAGATAACGTTGGTTTAGATCTTTGATTAAATGAGCAAATTTTGAGAGTAGTGTGCAATTTATGTGTAAGACTTTTGATATAATTATAGAAAATTGTATGTTTTCTCATAATTATTGCTGTAATTTCTCAAATACACCTAATTTGTGTTTGATTATTTTTTTTCAACTTTGCCAAATAATGGGAGATAACTCCGATAAAGTCATTTTTATAATAGAAAGTGTTGTGAATTTACCTATTTTAATCTGTAGCAAGAAAACAAGTTCAGTGACTCCATTTTTTCTTTTTCTTATCTGAAAGCATGTTATAAGAGCTATCTTCTCACATTATATCTTAAAATTCTATCAGGTAGTTTTCTTTTTATCACACAAAATTTGATTTTCCATGCATTATCTATACAAAATCTGACAATTTTGCACTACCTTTAGCATGAAAAAATGTCCAGTGACCCATGCTTTTTATTATATTTTTGAAAAAAGCATGATAAATACTTCATTTTGACAAATTATTAAATTTTTTTATCAATTTTGATTAAGACGCCCTAGCCACCTGAATATATCATTAGCAAAGAAGTGTGCTCCGTTACTGACAAGATTTCTAACATACTTTACTAAAATTGTCCAGTGGAAAATAACGAAATAAGTAAAAACTAAGTTGGATAAGATAAATTTCGTTGTTCTTTTTCTTAGTATAGCCCCTAACGTGTCTACGTATTCATAAATTCCTGACTTTGCGTATTGATGTGTGTTTGTTTATTCTACATTCGCTAGAGGTATAGGGGGAGGGTTGAGATCTCACAAAACATGCTTAACCCCGCCGCATTTTTGCGCCTGTCTCAAGTCAGAAGCCTCTGGCCTTTGTTAGTCTTGTATGTTTTTTTTTAAATTTTAGTTCATTTATATGTTTCAGAGTTTAGTGTGACGTTAATTTTCACTGAACTAGTACACAGTTTTGTTTAGGGCCCGCTGGTGTGTTGAAGACCCATTGGATGCCTTTGACAGTTTTCTGCTCTTTGGTCGGGTTGTTTTTTTTTTGACACATCCCCCATTTCCATTCTCAATTTTATTTCAAATGTTTAGGTTTGAGCATTCGTCATCAAGGAAAGTCCAGAAAAGTACGCCAAACGTATAATTCAGTTAAGGAAATTTTCGAATTAGGTAAACCAAATTGCGGCCTGTAAGCAATATTTAAAAAAAAATAATGATTTTTGATTGTGTAACCTGTATAGGCATTATTTGGGATAAGTTCCAATTTTAATTCCTATCCTGACATAAATATTTCCCATTATATTATAATTTGTACTGATAAAAAAAGAGGATAGACAATCTAAACACACTTTTTTCAAAAAACATGCAATGGAAGGTATATTTTTTGTATATTGTGGGAGCATTTTATGATTATATTATACACGAGGCATCCTTTATGATCATGTCAAATATTGTAGCATAATAATGTCAGTAAATGAACAATTTACTTTACGTTCAGATAGGAAAACAATCTTAAATATATGGCGTTCTGATTTTTAACTCTATAATGAATTTTCCAATCCAATATTAACATAAGTCGTACTAAAACAAAAAAGTGCGTAAGTGTTGTCTTCAGAAGGTGCATATCACTAAATGAGAGTTTTCCAAAGTTAATGAGATATCGATTAAGCTTATGATCATTTAGCGTATAAAAACAATGTATTTGAAAAAAAAATATATATAGAAAAATATTTATTTTGGAAAAATTATATTTATTTCTATGTAGCTTTAGCCTTGTTTCTCAAATGTTGTTTTAATAAGTATAAATAAAGCTTATTATGTAAAAAAAAAAATCTTATCTAGGATGCGTATTGGCCAGAAAATCAAGAGACACCAATCCAAATTGAAGCTTTTAAAATAGAACTTACAACAATGGAATCAAAACCTTACTGTAACTGTTTACATCTTACCTTGAAGTATAAAACCTGGGTATGTACAAATAAGATTCAGTCTGTTTGTTATCGATATGAACATAAGAAGATATGGTATGATTGGCAATGAGATAATTTTCCACCAGAGTCCAAATGACGTGAATGTAAGCATAAAAGTCATTGTATCGGCTTTTACAACGAGCTGAAACCATACTGTAAGGTCGGCTACAATTTGCCACAACAAGCTACAATACTTCAAATACGTAAATGATTAATCCATCCAATTAAGAAAAACTATAAAAATATGTATTCACGTTTTGTCTCGTTGGTTAATAGTTTAGCTCAGCCCAATAAGAACGAAAAGAAGGATTATATACGAACTCATACAAACAAGTTTTTATAATGCTCACTTCAAATGCAAAACGCCATTTATGTTTTAAACTTTATACTAAAACTGAAAAGTCTAGTTAACACTTCAATAATAAAATCAACACTGATTATTTTTTTCATATTGTAAATAGCGCATTGTTAGTAATCTATTGGAATATTTCTTGTATCTGGATATAAACTTCATATTCGTATGCACATAGGTGTTTTATTACTTTTAGGATGAAAGGTCGTTGGTAATGTATCAAGCAAAGCGTTGGGATGACGATGCTGTAGTTCCACATTCAAAAGAGGATTTGTTTAATTTATTGTTTGAAGTGGAGAATAAATCTAATAATGGTGACAATAGTCCTATCCTTGTTCACTGCCTGTACGTCAGAGTTTAAATATTCTAGAATACTGGTTATAGTTCATCTTCGCTAGCCAAGGGTCACGATCCTGTCCCATCCTCTCCACCCTTGGCAGATTAAGCCAACATTTGTGGTTACAATGCTGCGCCATTTAACCGTAGACAAAAGTCACGCCCATTCCGACTACATAATTCTTGACCAATGGCAATACTTGAACTTTATTCAGTGTGGAGGTGTAAAAATGGATGTTTCTAGTGTTTACAAATATCGTGAAGCAGGAACCGAATATATACGTTGACATTCCAGCATTTGCGCAAGAAACATACCCAGGAACTTCAATTAGTTGATTAAGAAATTTAAAATTGTCATTACATATCGTCCTATTTTTGGGGGTAAAGACTTGTTGCACAATCAGCACGTGGCCATTGTTCATTTACATTTTCTACATTTACACGTGATCATCACGAAGGCGCTTTTTAATTGAATGCAGTAAGTTACAACTGCGACCAATGAAAATCATTACCTAGTGTATCCGAAATTCTATCTTAATCCGTCAAGGGTGGAGAGGAGGGGACTGGATCGTAGCCCTTGGCTAGCGAAGATGGTTATAGTTAAACCATCATTTTTATTAAGTTGCTTGTTATATGCTAATATCCAGACTAACTCATTTAGACTAAAACAGACAAATGGAAGTTAAGAGAGAGAGAGAGAGAGAGAGAGAGAGAGAGAGAGTATCCGCTTAAGTTCAGCTCCGCTGCCTGAGGGAGTTGGACACTAGTGCAGCTAAGTAATTTGTGATGGGACTATGATTGCATTAATGCATATTTGCCCTTAAATGGCCATTTTACACACAGTTTTTGGACAAATTAGATATAATACAAGGCATTTCCTTAAAAATGTTTTACACACATCAACATTTTAGTAAAATTCATCCTATTGCAAAATATATTTTTAGGTAAAGCCTCTTAGTTTATTGAAGACGATATCTCAAAATGTGGCTTTTGGGCAGTTTTTTTCAGTTGTGCACTAATTTCAATCAGTTAAAACCCCTAATACAAATATGTACGACAACATTCGAAAAGAAAAACAAATCTGATGTCTGACTACGAAATTAATTATTTTTATCTACTCTAAATGTTTGATGTAAATTCAAAGTTCAAAATTTAAGACGTATTTTTAATTGTTCTTTGTTACATTCAATAGAAATGGTTGTGACAAAAGTGGACTATACTGTGTTTTGGCGACAGTGCTAGAACGACTGAGAATAGAACAAGATATCGATATTCAGCACATCATTAAGCAAACGAGGAATAGAAGACCACAGATTATCTTAAACTATGTAGGTAGAAAAATCTTTTTACGATTAATGTATATAATCAAGTAAACAACATGGTAATGGAAAGGCTATTTTATGCAATAAAATATCTAATTGTGTGTTATTTGAATGTTGTTGTAGTAAAATACAAGTTTTGGAAATTCAGTCATTCATAAATTCAAACAGATGTGTGATTTTTTTCTCAATTTAATTTATTCACAACACTAGAGGATATTTAGAGCTCAGCAAATTGATAAGATAAGAGTTCAAAGATGGGTTAGTGTTATTACCTCAACAAAAGTTATTTTGAGCAGCATTTAAACATAAAATAAGAAGATGAAGTGTTTTCGCCAATGAGACGTAGACGTTATCAAGCATTTTGACTACTTTTAAGTTAACATAATGTATTTGGCGCATACAAGTAAGTTAACTCAATCTGCGGTAGACAAGACCTGGGTCTGCTATTAAAGACTGTTCAAGGACTGTTGACACGTCTAACACAGACCAGACCTTTGGATAGGTGCACATTTGACCGGTACCAGTTACACGTCTCCTCAAGACCAGATCTGTGGACAAGTCTGCTATTGACTTTTAACTCGTTTCTCTTTTAACAGTGTAACAACTTTTCTCTCTATTTGGTAAAAGCACATCATAATATATTCTTTTTTTTTTTGCGATATATTGATATCCAATAACAAGAATATTTTATCATACTTCATCAATCGATACACAGAGGTCCTGATCAAAATTTAACTTTAGTTTAGAGCAGACCAGACCAAAAGTTAACTCAAGAGCATAGCCGGTCAAATCGATGACGTCCTGTCGAAGTTAACTTCACCGAGAGTTAACCTCAGGAGCGGACATGTTAACAAATAGTTCTTTCTTAGGCCACAATAACAGTTCAATGACTAAGTTTTCAAGCCAACACGACTTTGTTTTGAGGAAAAGTTGGAGCATTTCTAAAAGCTGTCACAATTTATCTTGTCGAAAAAAATTACTTGTTGATTTTAAGATTTGCTTAATTATAGAGAAACATTTTGGCCCGATGACTTTTGTTGTATAATTGATGAATATTAAAATGAAACCATCAGTTTTATCACGTCCTGATAAAGAAACTATACAATATATTTATGATGCAGTTTCGAAGTATCGGTATTTAAAAATATTAATTGCATTCACAACTATTTATTGTTTTGAAATTTGAGGGGAGGTTAATAATAATAAATAATAATGATTTATTTTATTATAGTGTCACATATTTGATCAGACATATATATATATATACACAATTACATAAACAACACAAAATAAAATGACCAAATATCCAGCCTTATGTAGACTTATGAGACACTTATGTAGAAACATTTCTAAAATCTAAAAGTTAAAAGACTTCACTAAACAAGTCAATTTACTCTATATGTGTAAAATTCAAATTCTAAAAATCTAAAAAAGATTTAAAAAGATTTACTTATCATCACACTGAGCTTTAAAAATAAGAAATAAAAATAGAAATATTAATTATCACAGTCAAACTTACAAAAAAGAAAAAGGTCTTCAAAAATGACTAAAGTATTTGAGTTAAAATCACTGTTAATAAATATAAATAGAAAAAACATTAAATATTATTGCTTGATAAATTCTCATGTGCTAAATAGTTTTCGTCTCTGAAAAGATTTAAAAATTGCATATGACAAAGAAGTTTGTATATCTTCACAAGACATTATTTCGATAAATTTACTGTCCATATCAAGAGTATTAAAACCATCCATTAAAGTTCTAGCTTTAGCAAACAATTCAAATCTAATATCTTCATATAATGGGCAAAACAACAAAAAATGTTTTTCACTTTCAACATCGTTCGTATTACATAGTCGGCATAGTCTTTCATCTACTGGTGTTCGCGGTCGGACATATCGTCCTGTCTCGATAGCCAGCGGCAGAGACCCGCTACGGAACAGGGAAACAGTTCGACGCACATTTTTTGGGAGTTGTAGCTTAAGGTATCGTTCAGTTTTAACGTTTGTTTTGTATAAACGGTATGTCGTAAATTTATTTCCGTTTACATTGTTCGAATCATCAAACAACTCTTGTTTGAATTCATCGTTATCAACGACATCAAAGCGTTCCTTTATTGTTCGTATAACAGTTTTTGTAGAAATTAATGTATCATTAAGAATAGCAGTGGCATCAACGGTTTTCGCAAAACTTTTCACTTTAACGTACCATCCTTTACGTCGATTTTTAGTCCACTCGGTAATCTTTCGAGTTAAACGCGTATCATCAGATCGCAAAATCCGACTTAATAATCGTATACATGCAGTTCTTTGTTTCTTAAAACACGAGGTCCAACCCATATCTCCTCGAATCGCAGTATTTGCAGTGTATCTTCCAACAGACATGAAAAATTTAGCTGCTTTGTTCTGAATAGAGTTTATTACTGAATGCACTTTTGTGCCCCTATTCTCGAACTATAAAATAACACTGGTTTAACCATAATAGAATACAACTTGGAGTATACGGAGTGTGTCATTCCACCTGCGCTTATAAATTTGCCATACAACGCACCGAGTGCTCTGCTCGCTGATTTTGATAGTTCGCGTACGGCTTTGTCGAACGTTAAATGTTCATTTAACCACATGCCTAAATATTTATATGATGTAGCATAGGTAATGTTTTGTCTGGAACAAGTAAAGTTAAAGTTACTACGATCGATAGATGGATTTCGGAAATGCACTACGTTACTCTTGGACGGATTAACATCAAGCTTCCACTGAATACACCAATCTGAGACAACATCCAACATTTTTTGCAGACTATCTTCATCGGGTGCAATAAGCGCTATATCATCGGCGTAAAAAAGGATACTTAAAAGATCATCTCCTATTCGAATGCCGCACTGTAGATTGTTAATGCGTTCGGCCAAATCATTAATATAGATCGCGAACATTGCCGGTGATAACAAACACCCTTGTTTCACACCACAGTCCACATCAAACCATGGAGTGTATCTATCATTCACGCGGACTGTACATTTGACATTCTCGTAAAGTGACTGTATGGCGGACAGGAATTTTCCTTGAATACCTGCACGTCGGAGTTTATACCACAATAGGCTTCTAGATACTGAATCAAACGCCTTCCTCATATCTATAAAACTGACGAATGTAGACTGTTTTGATATTTTCTGTTTGATATAACTGAAGTAAGGCTATATATATGCTCTTCACAACTGCGTTTTGGACGAAAGCCATTTTGTTCCTCACACAGAATATCGTTGTCCTCTAACTGCTTACATAAAGGTGAATTCAAGACACTACAGTAGATTTTGCTTGGTACGGATGTAATCGTAATTCCCCTGTAGTTTGTTGGGAGGCGTTTATCGTTTGTTCCCGGTTTTAATATGGGATTTACAACTCCAGATGTCCACTGTTCAGGCACTTTACCCAGTTCAAAACAACCGTTGCATATAACATGCAGTAAGTCGATCGCACTTTCATTCTTTAGCACCTCTGATGGAATTTCATCATATCCAGCTGCTTTGCGTAATTTCGTATGTTCAACGGCCTTGACTATTTCATCATGGGTTATGTTATTGTTCAGATCAGGTAAATCAGTTATGTTTTCCTCATTGACTAAATTATCGAGATCGTCAATGTTATCATTTCTTGCAGTCTATTGTTGATGCGCATCAACTAACGCAACTTGGTAGTGACATAAAAGCTCTATGACGTTGTTTCTAGCCATGAATTATAACGTCCTATTTCGCGTTTTTCACGGATTCCAACATGGTGTACGCTTAAAACTACGGATTCCAAGAAAAGTGGAATTAAGCGTCGCACTGATACCTAGTGGAAATTAAACACAAATGGACACAAAAGATACTACACTATCTGTAACCTCCGTTCAAAAAAAAATAATAGTAAAAATATAAATTTTGAACTCGGCTTTTTGCATTTGCGCCGATCTGCATTTCACTTTTTTTCTTTCACTTACGCCGATTTTGTTTTTCATTTGCGCCGATTGTGTACAGGTATATTATAGGTGAAAGTTATTTTTTTATTTATCATATAAACCTCTTCCGTTAGCCAGTTGTACATATGTTATGAATTGTCAATTATAACATATGCAACTATTCCAGTCATAATTACGTTCGATAACTCTGCATGTTACTGGTTTAATTAAGATTATGTAAAATTTACTAGTTACCCGATGAATTGTTTAAAGAAAATTGAAAAATATAGTTATTTCACCTCGGTTAATATCCATTCGAGGTCTTCTTTTATAAATATAAAATAATATCGTAATGAATTTCATTGAGAATCTGACAACACTAATCTACATAGGTATTGTCAAAACTAACATCGTGATTAGGTGCCATGTTTGTTTTCTTTGATCACGTTGATGTTATGACTTAATATCTCCTTAGTCTAGCTATGTCCTTGGCCATCATTATAGTGACAATAACGTGTCATATTTAATTGCAATATAAACAGTGAAATTAAATTGAATAATTTGCATGGACAAAATAAGTGTCGAACATCGTCTATGTTTGAAAATTATTTGGTCGCCATTTTTTAAAATTTTTATTAAAAAACAACAGCATGTATCAGCTTTATCAAAAGGAACCAATGTTTGATTCTATGCTGCTTTAAGGTAAGACAATGACTGAAAACGCGAGCATCCAACAGTTATTTGATTTTCATTGTAACAATCTTACAAAATATATTTTTACCAAGTCGGCCCACGCTGTCAATGTGGTCGCCATCTTGAAAAATAATACCCGATTTTCTGAAAATAGCTAATTTTCAAATCAATTTGGAAGGGACGTAATAAAAAATTAAACTATTGCATGTACGCCAAATATTTATGAATATAGTAATAAGCTCATATTTCCACAATTTTTCCATCTGTTTTGTTTAAATCGCAATTTAAGGTTTAACACGACAGAAAATCCAATATTTATCGGAGTTGGATGATTTAACAGTGTGAATTATCGAGGCAACAAGACAAATTTTCAAAAACAT